GACGGGTTTCAAAATTCGTCAGAATTTCGACGGGTTATTTACTAATAGTTTATTATAATTTTGACAGAATTTAGACAATCACTAAGAGATTTCGGCAAGCAACCTTACTTTTAGTAAGAGAATCATATGAGTTGAAAAAGAAAAATAAATTAATAAAATTGGTTAGTGCAAAAATAAATATCTAAATCTGTGTCAATTTTGATAAAAATTGTTAAATAATTCTATCAAAAGGTAAAAAAAAAAGTTGAGAGAGTGTTTAAAGAAGCAATTAACAAAAAGGAGTTACTAATTAAATATAAAGATATTGATATTTCTATATTTATAGTTGTATATTCTAGTACTTTCAATATCAAAAAAAATTACTAAAAGAAATATCACTTATTTAGAGTTGCGATATACAATTATATAAATTAATATCACTTATTTAAAATTATAGTGTATAACTATACCAAAATAATACTATAGCAAATTAATATACTTTATTCAAAAATACTTTAATTATCTTTTTCAAATTTAAAGACAAAAATATAATAGTCAAAAATTTAATTCTATACAAATTAATATTTGATTTTTTGATTTCACTCAAGATTTACAAAAAGTGACTTGAATTACAAGATTTGAAGTTCAATTAACAAACTATTTTTTCCAAATAACTTGTTTTAATAGAAAAAGATACAAGAATAAATATTAATTTTATAATAATAAGATAATTATTAACTTATTGTATTAAAAGATTAATTTGTTTGAAATATAAAAGTGTATGTATGTGAAAATAGCACTCCTATTTATATAAACTTTCTTAATATATTTCAATACTATTTATAAAATTATAGAAAGAAATATATAAAAAATAGAAAAGATAGATAAAAAAAGATAAAAAAGGTAAAAAAATAAAGGTAAAAAAATAGAAAAGATAAAAAATAAAGATAAAAAAGATAGATAATAAAGATAGAAAAGATAAATAATAAAGATAGAAAAAGTAGATAAAATAGAAAATGAAGGTAGAAAGATAAACAAAATAGATAATAAAGGTAAAAAAATAGATAAGGTAGAAAATAAAAATAAAAAAGGTAAATAAGGTAGATAATACTTGTAATATTTGATTATATACAATTTGTGTGTGTTCTATATAACTTGTTTCATGACTAAAAAAGATTTTTTTTTGTTGTAAAAAAATATATATGATAATTAATTTGACTTTTATTACTCAAGTATTGGTCTTTAAATTTTTGCTATATACAATATTTTAATTATAATTAAAATATTTTAAATATATTTCAAGAAAATAAAGTTCTTTGTTAATATTATTAACTGTATTTATATCAATTTTTCAGATACTGATAAATTTTTGCACCCTTTTAATACTAGTTCTATTGTAATAATATATTATTTTATATTCATTATCGATTATGACACATAATATAATTGGTTTTGTTATACTTATAGAAATTACTTCTATATATTTATTATTAATTTCTTCATAGTCTGTTTCTTGCCAGATTGTTATATTCTTTATATCAAGTTTTTTCTATAGATCCTTTTCATGTTCTGCTGAATTTAAGATTTGTTCATAAAAATTTTGCTCAAAGTCAATATAAAGTCATTATTTTTATTTGTAATGAAAAAGATAAAATATCTTGTAAAGTTTATGAAAAACTACTATTTATTTTGTTTAATGATATATAAAAGCAGAACAGGTAAAGTAAGTTCCCTTTTATTAATTTTGAGAGATTTATAATAATTCTTTGAGTATAAAAAAAGAAAAGAGCTTAGAATTCTACTTGCAATAAGTAAAAAGATTTTAGTTATCTATAAACAGAATAAGAAAAAGTACTTCTGTAACTTGGTTATATATCTCTCAGTTAAAATCAAACTCTTACTTATACTAATTACACAAGATTATTATTACTAAAAACATTTATCTTTATTAATTTAGATATTAATTATAGAGTAATATCCATTTCTTTTTAATTAATATATATATTGCATGCTTAAATATATTTTAGTGTTCTCTTCTTTCCTAATTATTTATATCTTTCTATCTAGTATACTATTTCTCTCATTGCTTAATCTTCCTGTTTTATATTCTTAATTATATTCATCTTTCAATTATTAATTATATTAATACTAAATTAATTAAGAGTTTTATCTAAAAAAAAAAAGCATAGTTAAAATTATTGCTTTGTATATCCAATAATTTAATTATCTTACCTATTTCTTTAAAGCGCTCAAACTAATATTATATATAATATATCATGCTTTTGATACCAGTTCTCGTAGTAAATATAGAATTCATTCAAAAATATCTCCTTTAAGAAAATACAGTCTGATCAATACTAATACTTAAGTCACTTGTTGATATTAATACAGATTCTAGAATTAAATCTTAAATTTATCAATTCTCCTTCTGAACACAATCATTAGTAAAAATAAATGTTTAAAAAAAAATAACAAGAGACAAATTCCTAATAAATTGAATAAATTATGTACAATATTTGAAAAATTACTTTAAAAAGACAAAAGGTAAATGATTTAATTTTCAACATCCATACCTGTAATACTGTTTTTTACAATCATTTACAATTGAAAAATAGTTATAAATACGTTTGGAAAATTTTATCAAACATCTATAAAAAAGTGCATGCATAGTTTGGTAATCAAACAATTAAGAAAATCAAAATTTTACTTTAACATCCAATTTTGGATTCAAAATTATTTTCATGACATTTATAATCACAAATGAAACTTTTATAGTTATTCATAGGAAATCATAGAAATGTTATAGCTGAAAAAGAGCAACTTGTAATTCACAAATCCAAAATAATTTTGTGTTTCATAAATTTTTCCTATATGCTAATCAAAATTTTTTCATATGAGTACAAATATAATTATGATTATCTGTGATATATTGGCTGACTGATATTAAATTAAGATCTATAACATAATTCTTGTATAATATTCATAACTAAATTTCTGTATAATCCAGATGATAACACCAGATATTTCTTATAATATAGGAATATAATTCTTTGAACTATATTATGTAAAGTATCCAGATCTAAATCAAAAATTGAATTCAAAAATCAATACAGGATATAAATCATAGGGAGATCTACTAGTTAGCAGCTTTATGATATATGAAGATCAAATAAGTTGGGAACTGTGACTATATTGAGTTTGTGATTATATGAAAGATGACTATCAATATGGAGATTCGATATTAAAATTGATAATCACGTGTCAGATTGTGGAACCAATCATTGATTGTTAAAAAAAATACTGGTTTCTATTGATGTATTGTAATGGTTTGCGGCCCTTTTCAATAAAGATTACCGAATTAATTAAAAAAGAAATACAAGAAATGTTACAGGTTGGTTGTTGATAGATAATCAAACAGAAGGTATATACTATAATAAACATATATAGAAAAGGCGGGATGTTTTATGTTATTACTATAAATTAAAAAAAATAATAAGATTAAAATTTACAGACAACATTATATTAATAATACAAATGATAGTAGAAATTAATATTTCTTTTTTAGCGAAAAGGGCAGAAAAAGGGAGGAGGGCGAAAGAGTGGGACCGATTCGAAACCAGTCGAAAGAATATAAACAAAATCTAAATATAGAGAACATTTTTGACTAAAAAGGTTGTACATACATTTACAAATAAAACATTCTATGCTCTAGTAACAAAAGAGATATATCACAAAGACTAACAAACTGACGATGATAAAATTTGATCGACAAATGTTTCATCATCGTCAATTCATCATCGTCTTGATCGTTTTTTCTTCATCTATTATGGTTGATTAATAACAAAGCGAGTTGGTTGTTGTGGGATGAAGAGGAATAGCATCGAAAAAAAATTTAGGTGACTAGTTTTCACGCTCTTCCATTTTTTGGTTGTTCCTTTTCGTCAAATTTGGATTTTGTTTCTTTCCTTTTGAAGAATTAAGAGGAGAGGAAGAGAAAAGAGAAAATAAAAAAAAAACCTAGTAATGGTGAATTGATCGGTAAAACGCACTAATGACCAGGCGGAGGTGAAGGAGATGAAGGTCCATGATCTTCATAACTATGCTCTCGGATATAAGTAGGAGATCTTTGTATCGGATGATTGGCAGTATAGTTTGATTCAGGTACATACGCAGATGATGTATCCAGATACTGTTGCTGATATTGACCCATTACTTCCGTATTATAATCATCATAATTCGCATAATAACCATTATTTGTAGGTAACGGTGAAGCATAATTTCCATTTACTGGCATCAAAGAACGTGGAGGTTCATACATGACACCCGTACTTTGTCTATAGATACTCTGACGTTGTCCTCTCACCGGAGCAAAGTTCACTTTAGGGTTTGGATCCACAAAAACAGAATCGGGACTGCTAATCTGATTATTGTTAGGTCTGATAATTGACCTACGTGGATTGGACCCATGTTTCTCTTCGAAATATGTTGGTTGACCAATTGCGTAGGTATCATTATACTCTGTATCGTGAAGCCTGTGAGATGCACGTCTAGCATTCTGTCTATTACTTCGGATCTTTCGACGAACAAGATATGTAATAAAAACAACGATAATTAAGGTAGCAGCCATCATCCCACCAATCATTACACCTGCTGACATGCCACCACTATCACTACTACTGCCACTATCAGTTGATGTTGGATCAACACTACCTGACTGAGTGGCGCTCACTGTGGCTGATGATGGGCTCGCTCCATTTGCCACGCTAATAGTGGGTATTGCGGATAATGAAGGAAGCGGGTTATTTCCAGTTTCGCTGTTAGGAGCATTTGTCGGTGATTTGTTGTTATTATTGTTATCATTGTTATTGCTGTTATTATTGTTATTATTATTACTATTACTATTATTATTACTATTATTATTATTATTACTATTATTATTATTATTATTATTACTGTTACCACTGGATGAAGTGGCGGAAGCTGGTGATGCTGCAGTTGGAGAAGCAGCTTGTGGTGACGGAGCAGGGGCTGCTTTAGATGGTTGAGGAGAATTATTACTGTTGTTGCTATTGTTATTGCTATTATCATTGCTCGACGAAGATGATTCTTGAGGCTTAGAAGCCGGCGCACTGTTATTATTACTATTGTTGGGTTGAGAAGAATCTTTGGTATTATCAGATGAAGCAGCAGTAGTAGGAGCGGGTGCTGTGGTTGCTACGGGAGTGCCAACGGCAGCAGATGGTTTGGACATCCTTTAAATTGGTAATAAGAATCGATACTCTTTGCGTATTATATTATTGGGTTATTAAATAATTATTTTTTATACACCTAAGCCGAAAATAATAAATTATATACAGTCTATAATATAAATAAATGAATTATGATAAACCGCCGACGACCCGAGCAAAATTTTAAACGACGACCTTTGTCGAGATGTAATAGTAATATTAGTATTAACACTCAAAAAAAATGACGTACATTGACGACAACTGACAAAAGAAACAAAATGTGTGTATAGTGTATGTGTGTGTAGTTTAATGGATAAAAAGAAGGAAGGGCGCGAAAGATAAATGGTTTGTAAGGGGATAGAGAGAGGTAGAGCGGATATTTAGAGGTAAAAGTAGAAAAAATAGAGAGAACGCACAAAATTCTTCGTTCGGTAAAAAGAATGATGCGAACTTTCTATTCTCACTACGGTAACGAAGGAAGGCGGAAATTATGATAAAGAAGGTAAAAATGACGGGCGACGACGGAGAATCAAGCGAAAGGGAAAGGATAAATCATTTTGTTCATTTTCCGCAAAAACTGCTTAGATATTGGGTGTTTGCATCAATTTAATTTTGTGTTTCCACACAATTTTCTCGGTTGATTTGTTATTTCTTTATTTGGTGTATGTGCAATGTAATGCACGCGGATTTGTCGTTCATTCGGTCGTTTCATTCGTGTGTAACATCTAGCATGCACGTATAACATTAACGTTAATATGTACTAGCATCGTGTGTTAAACTTTACATGTAGTACTCTTGTCGATTTAAAATTGATGAATTGGGAAACGCGGATATTAATTTCAGAGTACATGTACGATGTTACAAGGCTAATGTATTTATTTCCTATCGCTATCTTTGGATGATAACATGGGGGAATAAAATAGTGATGCATGTAGTTCAGATGTACGTATCATTCTGACAAATTAGACATGCATCGTTATCGTTATCGTTATCGTTATACATTCTTAATTAAGAAAAAATTTATTCCGTGAATATGATCAAACCTATTCAATCACAAATCCATTGCTTGTAAATCAAAATAATGAATTAAAGAAATTAACAAAAAATGTACACTTTACCTTTTTTGGGAACATATGTACAATCTGACACTTTTAGGACCTAAATATTCGATATCATTCTAATTAATATGAAACGTCAATATCAATATGATTTATATTTAGATATAAAATATTGTAGTATTCGACTGGTGTAAACTGCATTCGGGTGAATTTTTGTTTTTTGTTCATATTCGAAAGAATGCTTTTGTCAAGTTCCATTAATTTAAGACTCACTTTAATTTCTAAGGAGCTGGTAATATGACATAACAATAATCGGGTTTTTAGTTATCTTCTTTCATCAATGTACCTTAGAGCAGTCTGGACCTGTTTTTGAAAAACTTGATTGTATTAGAAAACAAAAAGCATTATGCGCACACTTTGGAAATTGTTCATTTATAAATTCCAGCTTTGAATTGCGTAATGATTTCACATTGTGTACTTCAAATCGTTTAAATTTTTTTTTCGTGATCCCATGTATCAGTAAAATTAACCTTAAATAGTCCACAATAGAATTTCCTAATTCCGTAAATCTCCTTTCGATTTATTCCTAAATAAAAATCCTTTTTTAGATTAGTTCCGAATTAACCGAATCACAATACGAAAATAGAAGCATTTCGTTACGAGACAATACCTTTTTCCTGATTCTTTAATATTATTGAGCGTCTCGACGCGTGATTATCCAAAGGACAAACGATTATCTGTAGATTAAGAAAAATAGATTAGAAATCGAATGATAGATACTTGATTGTTGATAATAAGCCCCAAAGAAACAAATGTAAAATACTAACCTTAGAATTAGCGTAGTAATTCAGTCCTGTATATTAGAGGTGCTTTCGAGCCTTCGTAGAAACATGCTTTGATCTAATAAAATAACAAAGTACTTACTCGTAATAGTAATGATTCTTGTGAATACACTATTATTTTCTTCTATTGGTCGAACTTCAAACCTTGTGAGTAATTGCAAGTAGTGGATGCTCCTCCACTCTAAATAATCCGTTAATCTCTTTTGGATTGTTAGTTTGTTTTGATCTTTCTTGGACAGGCCGTACCAATAAGCCCTGTTGGATTGTTTTTATTTTTTTTTGAATAGTCCGCATCAATAAGTCCTATTGCGTTAGAATCGTTAAATTGATTTTGATTTTGAATTATAATTTTATTTTGTTTTATTATTATTTTGTAAACGCCCCTTATCTTTAATGTCGATTTGCGTACAAGTCGCCACGGGAAGCCTTTAGAACGCCCAAAGAAACCCTTTACTCGTAAATAATTCAGTCTAGCTCTCACCCCTGTTGCGAAAAACCCCTCTTTGACTAATTATTATAATCAACGCAACAGTACAACCAGGACGCTTTAGAAATCATTCCAATCCAAACCTCCTTTTGCAAGATATTCAACATTTGGTAATATTTTCATTGATAATTTTCATTAGACGGTCAATATCTTTATTTCCGCTAGACAAATCAACTTTTGTAATATTCACAACATGTCAAACAGAACTCATTTTTTTGACAATCGGTATAATCACCTTGCAGTAATCCTACAATCATGATTATAAGATTCCATCTATGTATAGCGTTTTATTTAAAGAGTGTGAAAATCGATTGTTCCAGAACTTTGATTTCTATGCATGCGCCAATTGAATCTGTACCTGATTCCTGATCGCATTTTCTTGTTTTTGAAATATATTGAGCACATTATAAATAATCCGTACCAGATGACGAGCAATAAGGTGCAAATGAACAGTTTAATAACATTATTAATAAGGTTGTCGTATTAATAAAAATGACAACGCAAAAATATTTCTCAAGTTATCGTTATATGCAAAAAATAAAATATATTGTCAACCAAATAGCGCTAGGATTAAGAATGCGACAAAATTTATATTATAAGAGTCATCCCTCCCATCTAAAAGTGTGACTATAAAGAGGGGTGCTTATAAAGTCACACATTTATAAAAACTCATATACAAAGTGATTATATTATATTTTATATATTTTTTTAAACTAGAACTTTATTAATTCAAATTAATCAAATTAGTATAAGAAAATATTAATTATCAAAAAAATTATCAAGTGTATATTGCTTTTTTGATTTAATCCTTGAGTTTTATCTATTCGCAAATATTTTCGAAAAATATGCAAATCATCAATATTTTAATGCATTCGCAAAAGTATGTCAACTACTGGGTCGGCCCAGGATTTGGTGTGTTGGTGCTTATAGCGCAATTGTGACTATGAGGTATTTTCTTATAAAAAATTGGTGCCGCGTGACAGTGTGACTTAAGGGAGGGAGTGACTGTATGTGAGGTGACTATAAGAAAAGTGATGAATTTTAGAAAGAATAATAATAAATATAACGATAGATATATATGTAAACACAAGTTGACAAACAACTGCTTTTGGTTGTTGTTCTTCAACTTCTTTAACTCGAAACATTCAGGATCATGTTTTTAGACTAAAAAGATATAGCTGTCAATTTAATTTAATAAAGTGTACAGTATAAAGCAAAATAGTTATCATTTCTTCTAATAAAGCGCAGTATTTTTTTTTGATATTGTCATATTTTGTTGGAGGTGTTTCGAATTTGTAGTTTTTGATGTAAGACGCTTGATACCTTTTATTTCATCTATCTCGTTGATTTCACATAGTTGTAGTTTAGATTTTCGTTCTCTTTGATTTCATGTGGTGAACTAAAATTGAAATCATTTAGAGTATACCGATACAAACCGACACTTGTAAAGCCTAAATATTCGATATAGTTTTTAATTAATGTGAAATGTTAATGTATATGATTTATATTTAGCAATAGAAAGTCCCGTGTCAGTTGGAATTGAAATTAATAGTAAAGATTCGACTGGTGTAAACTGTTTTTTGAATTCTTTTTTGTAATTTCATCTTCTCATCAAGTTTATTTAATTTCCGTTTTTCTAGTTTAACACACTTCTTAAATTTATATAATCTCTTTTCTGGCTTAAACCAATATTTAATTTCATATAATTTCTGGTTTCCTCGTTTAAGATACTCATCTGTTTTAGGATATTATAAAGAGCTGCTGTACTGAAAATGCAAAGTATTCGGTTTCCACTTTGCAACATATTCGTTTCTCTTCTCACACCACCGCCCATTATTACAACACGCATTGTCCACGAGCAATTCATATTATCATCCAGAGTTTCCTTGGCAAATAATAAATAAGTAGATTAAATGCATTCAGCTTAATATTGCATGCAGAGGTATATCAAACTTTCTTTAATTTTATACAAAGAAAGCGATATTACTGCTATTAGTTTGAATCATGTTTTCAACCTTCGGATTTAAATCCGGTTCCTCCGGTTCATATTTAAATCCGGATAATAAATTCGGATCCCTTCGGTTCATACAGAAGAACAGAAACGAATACCTCGCCATTGAGAAAATATCGAGAGGTAGAGGTAAGTCAATTTGATTCAATTATATCTTCTAACAAAAAAGATAATGATTTTTTGGCGTTCCATTTAATATGACCGAATCTACTAGTGTGGAAGCTAAGTACAAATGCTTTGGAATTCTCGTTTACTATAAATAAAATACATTTCCATACCACGCAACAAATATTAATTAAATTTTTACCCCCAATGCTTCGAATTTCACAAGAACGCGCCCGAATACACGTCCTCCGACAAGGATATTCGATCCAAGAAATTGCATCATCAAAGAAGGTGGGTTTAGCTTCCGTCCATAGAATATATAAGAAGAGACTGGAAGTTTCGACAAGCCAAAACCCGGTCACTCACTAACCCTCACAGCGCGCTATGAACGAAATGCTTGGCGATTAATCTACTCCGGAAAAGGTACCACCGCCGTTGGAGTCCAACGTGAGCTTAAAAATTAAGTTGCATACGACGTATGTTCCGAAACGGCTTATTTGCGAGGATCAGCGAAAAAGCCTTACCTCAAAAAAACATAAAAAACAACGATTGGCATGGGCGAAGAAATATCAAAGTTGGACGGCTGACGATTGACAACGCGTAATCTTTCTGACGAAAGCAAGTACCAAATTTTTGGATCAGACGGAACCTGGCGAACCGTTAAGACCAGCATATCACGCCAACTGTCAAATTTGGTGGCGGTTCGATGATGGTTTGAGGTTGGTGACAGCTGACGGCATTGGCGAATTGCGAAAAATTGATGTAAAAATGAATGCATATGTCTATATAAACATACTAAATAATAATTTTTTAAGGACGGTCCTGGGAGAAAATGCTGGAGGATGGTGAGTTTATCTTTCAGCAAGATAACGACCCAAAACATACAAAGCAGAAATGGTTCGCTAATAATGACATTGTTTTGCTTGACTGGCCACCCCCAATCGAAAACCTATGGAACAAAGTCGATACCCACACGAGACAGCTTCCTGGGTCACTTTCCACCAAAAGCGAATTGTGGCAAAACTAAAATCGCGTAGATATCGATTACTGTATGGTGCATAACATCTAGTCATCAAACATTTGTATTTTATAAAATGTATAACCGTTTCAACTAAGAAGTAAATACAAAATTTAATCCGTGAATATGATAGAATAGTCCCTTTCTGAGCATATTCAGGGATTAAATTTTGTATTTGCTTCTTAGTTGAGAAGTTTATACATTTTATAAAATGCAAACGTTTGATGACTTTAGATGTTATGCACCATACAAAGTTGTAAGAAAGTTAGATAGGCTTCAAATAATTCATCATTTAGTCAGCGCAAATAGAATTATTAACATACTTTTATTAATATTTAGCTTTAAGGTCAATTTATCTTATGGAAGAAAACTCACTTCGCGTACAATTGGATATAGGCATTTATCCAAATGAAGGCTGTATATCCAAAAAATGATTTACCAAAAGTTATAGAAGAAGATTGTCACAACTGTGCAAAAAGTTGCTCGTGTGGATACTCGGAAACAATTTGAAGATGAAATTGAAACATCATATGAAAATCTGAAAAAAGCTTTAAATCCTCAAGATCAGCAACTATTATTTAATCAGTTAATCAATCAATTTGTTAAATCTAAATATATAAAACCTAATAGCAGTGAGAATTGGAGTACCACCTTTGAAGATGATAGAAGAATTGAAGATACCTATGTTCATCACTCGGTGCACCCAATTTTGAGACCATTTTTTCCAGATACACCAGGAAGAACTACAAACTGGTAAGTTTTTATTTAATTGTTTATTTCGTTGGACCATCCTCATTCGATTGTATTAGAAAAAATATTAAAACTGAGTAAACTATATTGTCTTTGAATAGAACTTTCTTACCTCAGAATTAAATTCATTTCGATTTCTTTTTACGTGATTTTTTGATGCTGGTGTTGTCATCTAAAAGTAATAAATAAGATATTACTAGAATTAAACTCATTTTGATTTATACGAAAATTATTAATTACCTTTATTTACAATTGATCGAAGAAAATCCTGAATTTCAGATCTTTGGATAGTATCATCAAAGGTAGAATAAATATATGAAGCTTTATTTCGTACTTGTATCAGAATGTGACTGATCTGAGATTGATTGTAATTTTATTTTAAAATTGTTTCATGGTTTATATCAATTTTTTTGATATAAATTGAAGGCAGGAAAGAATCGATCACTGTGTAAAAGGCACTTCAGATATCTCGGACGTATCAGATACTTCAGATAAATTAGATCCTCAAAATAGATCTTTAAGCATAAAAAAAAGTTGTTAATTCAAAAAAACTAGTTAGTAACATAAAATTGACAAGATGTTATTCTGGTAGGAGGTCTTCATATACATGTGTTAAAAGAGTCTCCTCCAAGCATCGGCTATAAGTGATTCACAGAAGTAAATTCCCATATATCATCGAGCCGGGCATGTGAAGATCCATATGGACTTGGGTACTGTTTGATGCCCTAATGTTATAGTAATACTACTAACCTCATATACTTGTTCTGTCATTACTGCTTGTTCAGTAAACGAATTTTTCAAAATTACAGCTGGGTGAGTATAATTTCTTCCAATTAATTATACTTTTCTATTTGACGCGAAGGACCCTGGATATAAATCTTTTTTTGTTAGATGTCACGGGTTTGTAGCATGATGTAGATCATGGTTCACGTGATGCTACACAGATATGAAAAATTTGATTTGATAAATCGGAAAATAAAGATGGAGAGGATGAAAGTGATGAATTCGAAGAGACGAACAAAGCGTGCTCTGACACTTGATAAGAAACTCCAAAGAACCGGAGCAGGAGAAAACAATTGAAACAACTTTCTCCGCTTCCGCAATAAAGTGATTTTGTGGAATCTCAAATGCACGTGACATCTCTTAGGATTCGACACAGATGGTGCATTCATATAATTATGTGTATATTAAATTTACTGTACAAGATCTGACCCGTCGTTGAAATCTTAGGCACTGTTATGTTCATTGATTCCAGCTTGGATACTGAGTTCATTGGAAGATTTTCAAAGAATGTAGAAAATCAATCGATATCTGATTTGAAAGTTCGATTAGATCCTTTATGTTCGTGGTGTTTGATATTACTAGACTTGGAATTTGTTCTCGAGCTTATAATGAATTTGGGGTGAAGGGAGTTTCAGAGGTACGTCATGCGTGTTTTATTAATAATTTAACTTGCAATCACCGAGTATAACAAATTTATAACATTCTCTACATAGGAGAATCAGAAATATTTTGCTGATTGGGCTCCTTCTGCCCGCGCTCTTCGAATTGTTGTCAGGCAAAGGAAGGGAAGACATTTCTGCCCAGTTGTTTGTCGTGTTGTTGAGATCATTAGGTTTTTCTGCTCAATTGATGATCTCATCGCAAGTTGTTTCGTTTAATTTGCGGTTAAAAAGCCTGCGACAGAGAACATCTGTAAAACGAAAAAATTTCTGTTAAGGTGACTCCGAAAAATAAACAAGAAGAATCTTCTATTGTGAATATCCAAGAAAACGCGGCATCAATAATTCTTCAAGTTGCAAAAATCAAGACTGAAAGTGAGGACGAAATTTTTACCACGGGGAAAAGTCAGTAAGCAAGTATTTCTACTCCAGTAAAACAATCAAACGCGTCTCAATCGAAGAGAGTCCAAGTCTCATGTTCAAAATGGAAAATACCGATTCGGTGGTTTTGAATGAAAAGACTTTACCCCCACTCTCAAGAAACGATCACTTTGTTCATTTGCTTTTCAGACAAAGAATGAACACCTGCTGGCAAAGATCAAAGTGAAATGATGAAAATTCCGAACATACGTCTCAGCCTTCTACTAAAAAAATATCCGCAGATCACCTCGATTCCAGATAGTTCAAGTGAAAGTGATGAAGAAAAAGAGAAACGTGAAGAAGCAGAAAATGATTATTGCTCTTATAGAGACAAAAGAAATCGTTGATGATTTTAAACCACCTTCTCCAAAAAAATCACGAGCAAGAGAAAATAGCTCTGCCAAAACAAAAAACAATTCAAACAGTGGTAACTGATTAAACCTTATCTTTTTTAATAGTTACAGAATACGAGGAACCTCCGGTTTATTTGTGCGCATTAAACTCTGATTGATAAAAGATGGTTTTGCGTGGATCTGATAAGGGCCATCATTGACGATCCTCATACTACAGAACCGGTAAAATTAAGGATATTACACGCATTCAACCAACTAAAAACGGATATGATTGGTGGCGAGAAACACCAAGTTATCGAGCTCGATTTTAGGTATATATTACGCATTTAAATTATAACTTATCACTTTGTGATAATGAGAAAATAAAGAATTATCCTCAACAGAAATTTCTGAGGTGATTCCCACGATCATTAGCGCTTTTAATAATCATTCATTGTATTTGATTCACTTCTGGTTTCAAATTATAGAATAGCTTAAACAATTTACAGATATGTTCTTGAACGTCATTTGAAAAAATTCGAGATACTACATCCAAAGGAACCAATACTCGGAGAAATTCGTGGTGAACCGACCGGGTGAATGTGTTAAACAGGTATTTATAAAAATTCTTTGTGTTCTTTGCGAAGAATGTGAACCGAAATTATTAATATTAGTTGCATACTGTTGAAACGTGATTAAAGGAAACTCATGAATACAGATATCTCATTTTATGACGTTATTAAATTAGGGGTTGAGTAACATTTAATATATAGAAAGGTGAACAACCCCTGAAGTATGTAAAATCTCGTGCGGTCACACTGAGCAAGAAAAAACAGAATCTGGATTTTCTGCAGAATAGCAAACAGTTCCATATAACCTGAAACATATAATTAATGTTTGTATTAGTAATTGTTACTTTTTACATAATAGGGTAAAGATTCCTCTAAGTATGTGTTCATCGGAGCTGCCAATATACCAAGTAAGCTCATTTTTTTATATTATTGTTATCATAGATTTATGATGATTATTTTTTATGTAGTTCGTGGTATTGCCAAAATCGCCAAGAAACTTGAGATTGAGTTTGCCGAAGCTGTCGTAAGCTGCTTTGTGATTTTCTTAAATGTTTATTTGCTATTGATTGAGCATTTTTTTCGAGTACTCTATTTCTCTTTCTATTGAACGATATATAGACCGGTTTCGATTTTCCAGAAATAGTAGCAATACAAGAAGCAGTAAAACGACGAAAGAAAGCGTTAACCAGATGGCGTAAGCTCACATCAAGATGTGGATTCGGCTACGCATCAGTCAACAATTTGCTGGAAAAAAATTAGAGGAACGAGCAGAGAGTGAACACGAGTTAATGCATGATGATAACGAAGAGGAGGAAGAGAAGCAGAATAAGGGTAAGGTCAAGGAAGTGGATGATGCGATAAAGGTTTCAAGTAGGCGAGCCCTCTAAATATGCTGGAGGCTTTTGAGTTATTGAATTTAGTAGTTTTGTATTGAAGCATAACTAATATAACAATAGATTGATTTAAATTACGAATAAAAAAAGATAATGCAATATATTTATCGAATTATAGATTGAGATGTACAACTCTTGAGCAATCCCAGTTTATCGTCGCGACGATAAAAAAAATAATTAGACAAAAAATCCGGTTTTTTTAGTTTCAAAAAAATGGATTAATATCTCCATGACTCGATCAAATTGGATGAGATATCATACTTCAAATTGAGTGTTCCCTCTGAAATATAATATCTTATGAATTACCAAACAAAAACTAGATAAATTTAAATGACCAAACAATTTAAAAAAATGATCCAGGAACTTTGAAATTCAACCCGGATAAACATATCATTATTTGATTTGTCAAGACTAAATTAAATCAAAAGACATATTTTTTGTTTGAATTGAAATTGTAAATTATGTTCTCTATTTTTAATCCAGAAATTTTATAACTAAATTCGTGATTTTCAAAACTAAAAAAACTGGATTTTTGTCTGATTATTTCTTTACAAGATTGTAAATAAAAAGTGTTGGTGTGAAAAAGAAAAATAAATTACATATACAATAATAATCAAAAAAAATGGAATATTAAAACAAATTTATTAATAAAACATATGTATATTTATTATTAAATTATGAAAAATTTTATTTAGCTATTATATTTTATTTTTTGTAATATATTTAGATGTTCTATATTATAAGTTTTTTTATAGTTTAGTATATAATATATATATATATATATTAAAGTTAAAATTATGATTAAAATTAAGATCTAATTATAATTAAATTAATTGATTAATATTAAAAAAAATTAGAGTTAGCTAATATTTTTATAAATTGAATTTTTATTTGAATTCAAGTCTAATTTGAAATTTAAACTGGATTTTGATTTGAGTTCAAAATTTAAATTGAACTTGAATTGGTTAAATTAATATTGTTACCATTTTATATGAGTTTAGACTTTGTCATGACATATAAATAATATATAATATTATATCAAGTAGAAGAGTTTATAAAATATAACTTCAAGTAAAAAAGAGAATACAAATATTTAAAGGTAGATAATATATGTTCATATTGTGATTAGCTAAAATAAGACCAGAAATATTCAAAGATAGTTATATTTTTTTAAAATAATTTATAAATAAGTAAAATATAAATTCTTTTTATTAATTCAATTATATATTATTGACTTCAGAATATATATGTGAGATCAATTACAAATATTATAAAAAATATAACTTTATAATATAGATAAAAAATTATAAATCAAATAACAATAATAACTTTGCAATTAAGACAAGAGATTATAAGAAAATATTCAAAAAATTATTAAAAGAAATATAAAGTAATTAAAAGTAAAACTACTTTTCAAAACTAATTTATTTTCTAAAATTAAGATATATATTATATTTATATAAATTATTTGTTATTTGATCATTAAAATCTAGAATTAATTTAATTGATAATAATATTATATAAAAAGTATTTACTTACTTTACTCACTTGATCATTATATATTACCCACTTTAATATTATATATAATTTATAATTAATATGAATAAAATATGAATAATATAAAATAAAAGAAAATATAATCTATAAATCACATATAAATTAACTATCCAATAAAAATAAGATATAATAAATTATATAATATGTTAAAATTTATATTATAATAGTATATAATATTATATTAATTTATAATTCTAAATATAAGTTATAATTTTATTTATAAGTATAATTTATAATACTTATTAAAAATTAAAAGTTTATTTAGTAATAACTAAAATATTTATATTTTTATATTTATTAAATTTTATTGTAAATATTGTATAGCTTTTGAATATTTATTATAAATATTAATTATCTTATATTAATTTATAATAATTAAAAATATTTTTTAAACTTATATAACTTTTAAATTAAATTTTTAATTAAATTCAAATTTTTAAACTGGATTTTTAATTAAATTTGAATTTAAATTGAATTAAATTCAAATCAAATCAGATTTTTTTTCAAAATTCTAATTAAAATTAAATTATAATTAAATTAATTAATTACAATTAAATCTTTCTATAGTTATCACTTTGAAAAAGTCAAATTTAATAAATATAAAGAAAATATACTATAAAAAGATTTTTTACTATATTTATATATAATTAGAAAGCAAAATAGAATAATTATAGATAGATATAACTATAAATAAATATAAATATAGAAGAATTTAATTATAATATTAAAAAAATTTTAGTTATTAATTTTGAACTTTTTTATTAACTAATTATAAAATAATTTGATATTAATAAAATAAAGAATATTTTTCAAAAATAATTAAATTCAAATTTAATAAAAATTATTATTAAAGATTTATATTAAGAAAATTATATATATTAATTTTGTAAAAATTATAATAATACAAATTAATAAAATAATTATTGAAGTTATGAGAAATAAATTAATTAAAAAATTAATATAAAGATATAATTTAATAGTTAAATGAATATAATTTAAAGATATTTAATACTTTGAACTATAAAAAAATTTATAATTATTAAAACACATACAGTATTAAATAATTTTTGATATAATTTATAATATTATATATTTTATTATAAAAAATATTTGTAGTTAAATATTAATTTTAATAATAATAAGATTTTTAGTATTTGAAATATTATATATACATATTATTTTTGATTAGCTAAATTTTATTATACAAAATTATATAATAATTTTTTATGTAAAATTCTAATTAGTATTATATATAATATATTTAAAAATAATAATTCAGCAATAATACAATATTTAATATAACTAAATTATATATATTATAATAATAATAATAAAATTTGAATAATAAAATTATTAGTAATATAAATTAATTTACATTGAGTTTTTATTTTTATATATTTAATAAATATTATTATTATTATCTTTTTTGTATTTTAATAAAATTAAAAATTTGAAGATTGAAAAAAATGACTAAAATTATTATTATTATTAAAAAAAGATTATATAATTAAAAAATATAAATTATTTTTAATAATTAATAGAAAATAATTATTTATTTTTAATAATTAATAGAAAATAATTATCTATTTTTTATATAAAATCAAAAAGTTAAGAAAAAATAATTTTTGAAATATAAAATAACAAAGTTAAATAATTTATATATTATATAATACAATTAACAAGTTTTTTTTTATTTTTTTTTGATTAAAATATTAGTTATTAATATTTTTTAATACAAACTTCAGAATAAATTAATTAGCTAACAAGATTTTTATATTGTTTAATTAATATCAAAATTATTTATTTATTCAAAATTATTAAATTAATTTAATTATAATTATTATAAAAAAAACTTTTATATAATATTATACTTATTTTATAAACATTATATAAAGAATTTAGAATATTTTTTTAATTATTCTTATATTATTAATTATTATATATATAAATATTATCAATTTTTATATTTTTATTTTTCTATATTTATTATTTTTTTATTTATTTATTTATTTATTTATTTTAATAGATATATTTTAACCAATTACAAATTTTTGTAATTATATATATTTATTTATTTTCTATTTTTCTTTCTATATTTAATAAAATTAGAATTTTATTTTTAATTAATATATTTATCTTTTATATTCTTTTCTTGTTTTTAAAGTATTGTTATTCCAGTTCTTTTAACAGTATTTATATAGCAGAAGGTCTTTAACGGGTCTCTTCTTACAGTTATA